GTTCCCAGAAACTGTAATAAAAAAAAAGGAAAAATAATGACTCTGGATTTTTAAAGCTACATGATTATTACTGCACAATGTTTAGGATAAATTCCTAACTATGTTTTTCGAGTGACAGAGAAGTGGGAAGGGTAAGAACATTTGGAAGCATATTAAAGTGAAAGGACTCCTCTATATTCTCTTGTCAGTAATAGTAAGCAATTTTCAACATAGCCTTATATTGGACTAGACAAAAGAGAAGTATATTCTCATCTTCAAACTCCCTTTAAAGATCACTGCTTTAATCAGCTTACAGATTAAGTATAAAAAATAAAATAAGAAAAAAAAAGTCTAAAAATAGTCAAAAGTCAGTTACCCATAGGTATGCTTCTATGGAACAAGGAATAGTTCAGGGCATGAAATGTGTTCTTTATACTAAAAGAATCAAACTTCAGAACACTTCTTAGTATTTAAAAGGTTTGTGCTTTTATAAAATAAAATATGAAAACCCATTGACAGTCATTTTTTTTTAAGTCAAAGCAAAAACTATTCTAGATTCCTTATTTTAGGTTTTTCCTGTCTTCCCAGCTGATCATACAAGATGGTTTTGTGGATCCTTTGTATGGACTGAATGCGGTTTGGTTCTGCTTTTCAACTAGAATATCAAGCAGATTATATCAGTGCTATGCTCATGTGCTTTGGGAAGGGTTTATTGTCCCCTGTCTCCTTTACCTAGACACAAATATATTTCTCAAGAATTTACAGAAATGAAAAACAGCTGAAATTACTATTCCACACCCATGTAAATGTTTAAGGAGGACAATGAAATGTTAAAATGGACAAAGTTACTATAAACATTTAGTAGCCTCAGGAGTCATTGAAGTCTGTCCTGTAAAACTGGAAGCGATGGACTTCTGCGATTTAAAAGACAGTGATGTTATTTACAAAGGCCCCTCCATTTTATGCTCCCCTACCCCACCATTTCTATTAGGACAGCTCTTAGGAAAAACCCCGTCAAATGCAAGGAAATACGGTATCAATTCTATCAGCTCTACCTACTTAAATCATAGCTAAATTTTCACAGTGAAGTACTGAGGTTACTACTGCCCCAGTTTCACACCATGGAAAACATAGAGAATGGAGTTTCTAGTGAAGGAAATTAGGAAAAAATATGTAGGTATTTATTATATTCTCATGTCCATGTAAAGCAAAAGAATAAATAGACCTTATCTTAAATATCAGCTGGAGAATATTAGTCTCAGAAGGTCAGTTAATATTGAAAATTCATGGATTATCATTCAAACACATCACAGAAATTTTTTTGTTACTTCCAGAGAATATCACCCTCTCAGTGACACCTACCGAAACTGTTATTCCTCTAAATGCCCTAAGACAAATAAAACCATAGGGAAGCAGTATACATTATTTCCGAAGAACTACACTGAAATCTGAGGTCAGTATGCCCAGAGAAGTTCAGGACAGCTCACGAGTTCCATAAACAGGATACAAGTTTTTGATGAATGAAAGTAGCCTAAAATGTATGTTAGAAAAGAAAGGCAATATATGGATATCCAGAGAGATCAGATGAAGAGCTATGTTCAATTTTCTGCTTTGCCACTCTGCTGGAGTGAAGGTGCATTTCATATGTGGCCTGTTTTTTTATTTCTTCATCATCTGCTGCTGAGTTAGTGTGAGAAACAAAACTCTGGCTAGACAGATGACTTTTCTGCCCCAACACAATAACCTTCCTGTGACACAAAGCATCTGTTCGTGGCTACCTCTTGGCGACCTTTGAGGAATAACCTCTCCTCTAGCAGCTCTTGACATCAGCACAGTCTTGGCCCTGAATATGCTCATTCTGGATCACCTAATATTCTATTAGACTGGTGGAGAATAGTTAAAATATGCCTACCAGTGGATGTACAAAAAAACCCAGGAGATGGATTCTGTGATTTCAGACCAGGAGCCCAAAAGTAATAAATGCAATCTCAACAGCATAAACTTTTTCAGTGTACTGAGTTTTTTAAATGTATTTGTTTCTTATTACAGGCCAGATAACAAATGATTCCTTCTATTTGATTTTTGGTTTTATGTCCAGTTCTGAGGGATCATATCTCATATTTACCCAAGAGGAAACATACATCCTTAGCTCAATATTATACTCTGCTGTTTAGTACATGTTTTAGAGCATGACTGGAAATAAGCCTTTCTCAGGATGTCCTCAGCATGTTCTGAGAGACAGAAGTGCTGAACAGATAAAACTCAGAATTGTACTCCTGTTCTGCCTCTAGCCAGCTGTGTGAGTTTCAATTCAATGTTTCATTTCTCTATTCAATATCTCCCTCTCTCTTCTATTTAGAGTGTTGGTTTTACTGAGTAGAAGCTGTCTCTTACTCAAGGAGACCTTCATCTTGATTAGGTCCTCCAGGCATTCCATGCATCATAAGCTTTCCTTCTCTTTATGATTATCTATTATTCATATTCTGGTAGTGTCTAGAGACCAATAAGTTAAGATTGTGACAAGATACAATATATGGATAAATAAAGATGGCAGGTGGATAGTTAATAATAAAGATGGGTGTATGTACATAACTTAATAGTGTCAGTAACTACTAATGCTCCTCTTTTCCAATTAGATCTAATGATTTTTTTTCCTGAGTGCAACAAATGAATTTGTAGCAATTCCATGGTAGTTTTATCTTCTTTAGAGTTTTGTTTTGTAATATTTTTAACGGTTAAAAAATTGCTAATGTCATGAAGAGTTTACACATCTTTTTTTTTTTATCATTAAAATACCACAGTTTACCAGGAGTTAATATCCAGGAAATGTGGAATACTACAGAAATAACACATTAAATAAATACTACCATTAGCTGATCTACTTCACAATGCAGTAATTTTACACAGGTTAAACCTGAGTTTAAAATATTTGAGAATTTCAAAGATAACAAAAAATATTTTGGCTGAGGGGGTTGGAAAAACCTTTTTTTTTTCAAAGAAATCTTTATAAATGTTAATATTTTTAGTGCCTCCCACTTATTGGGCCCAGATTCTATCTACTTCTCCTAGGTATAACTAAATATACATGGATAGTTCCTATACATGCAAGGGCTTTTTAGTATAAGTAAAACTAACTAATGAAGCCACCCTTAAATGAATAAACGTTCCGTTCTGCTGAGTTTTACCTCTATGTGACATACATTTTTTACTACATTCACTGACATTAATGATTATAGTAGAGCCCAAAAGATGCTTAACAGCAAGAAAAAAACTCCATTATTTTGACAACCATTCCTGACATCATAGAGTCAAAGAATGGTTGGGGTTGTCAGGAACATCTGGAGATCATCGGGTCCAAACACCTGCTTAAGCAGAGCTACCTAGAGCAGGTTGCCCAGGACTATCTCAAAGGATGGAAGCTGCACAATCTCTCTGGGAAGCCTATGCCAAGGGTCTACTGTATTGGAGTGCCCAGAACTGGACATGGTAATCCAGATGCGGCCTCAACACTACTGAGGGGAAGGATCACCTCCCTCAGCCTGCTGTAAAGACTCCTCCTAATGCAGCCCAATATACCATGAGCCGCCTTTGCTGAAAGGGTACATTCCTGGCTCATGCTGAACTTGATGTCCACCCAGTGTCTAGCAGGATGTGAAGAGATGATACCCAATACAACAGGAATCTGCGACTGTTCAAGGCATTAAATTACTTGGTTTTCTACTTGGTAAATATCTTCCATATCTGTATGCAACTTAGAAGGGGAAAAAACATTTAAAATGTTTTAATGAGTCACAACTTTTGCCACAGCCATTTTGAATTAACTGATTTAGAAATAGAAATTCAATTCAGTCAACCAGAATTCATCCCAGATCTCTCAGACTGTCCCATTGTACTCCAGCCATATAGTCATGAAATGGTCAGCATCTAAAGACGAGAACTTTTAGTGTATTGAGGATACATGTGAATATTTGCTATTATTTCAGGTTACAATGCAGAGAGATTGAGAGGGATGAAGAAGAGAATAATCTCTACTCACCTATAGTTGGATCATGATACTCAGGGAACCGATGGCTTATGAACTGCATTGTCATTGCTGGAGACGAGGAAGACAGAGGGAAGAAAAAAGAACAATATCACTGTCTTTAAATATTAACTGAAAAGAACAAGCAGAGAATTCACTCATTTAAGTATCAGCTTAAAAAGTGAGTCAAAAGTTGGGTTTATGTCTACAGCTGCAAGAATGCATTGGCATTACAGTAACAACTAAGAACCACTGTTTGGTTTCTTCTGAACAGATTGGCTTCTGACTGAATTTACCTGCTTTCAGAAATTTTAGGAAAGTTACATGCATCTTCAGGAAGATTGCTCTGCATCATTTGGAACTGGTGGTGCCCTGGAAGTGAAATTCTAATTTATGTAGAAAGTCAGAAGCTTTCATATCCTGTCCAACCATGAGTTTCCACCATGCCCTCTAAAGTTCATGGACTTTGAATAACCACAAAAGTAGGTTTGGGTATTTAATGGTCACAGTAATAACATCAGTTATCAGAACAATATTGGAAGCTATATTATCTTTGATGGCTTTCCTGAGGAGTTAAACAAATCTCAGCTCATTTGAAAGATAAAGGAAACTGCCTAACTCTAAGTGTTGTAACGAAAAGACCTTCAAAAGTGAAATTGGTGAATTCCAATTGAACAAAGGGGGAAAAAGTTAGGACCTAAGAGGTTTGTTTTGTTTGGTTTTTTTTTTTTTTTTAATATTGCTAGATTTTCAACTCAATTTCAATATTTTAATTTTTCATGTTTTTTTAATGCCTGCATTAAAATTCCGCTATAGCTGTTATGTGGCCATTTGTTTAAAAAAACGTACCCCATCTGAATGATAACTATCAGTCACAACACATTAAACAAAACCCAAGATTCTGCCTTATGTCTTGAACATCTCAGTTACCTTCAATAGCAGAGGTTAGGAACAAGAAATGCAACATTTTGAAAATTCTGTGTATAAATACACCCATTTTTAAACTAGCATTGTTTTAGTTTAATGTTTGTCCTCCTTATATTTTCAAGAGTCAGGGTCTTAAGGAGATAGTTTTACAAAATGATACAGACAAGGAGTATTAAACATTTATTACCACGTTAATAAATTATTGCATCTTAGTGTAGACAAATATAAGTGTTAAGAAGCAGCATTATAAATTCATAGTAACTCAGAGAGGGTAAGTGTTGAAAAAAAGCTCATTCAGCCTATACATGTTATAGGGGAATAAATCTATGTGCAGTGACACTCATGTCTTCTATATTATCTGTTGTCAGATGCATTACTTCCAAGTACTGTGTATGTTTGGACACTTTCATTTCCAGGACACCTAGTTTTTTAATCATGACAGATTTTTAGGCACCTCCATCTGATAACTGTTAGTGGCTTATGAAGAATAAATTGATTCTTAATGTGATTTGCCTGGTTTGCTCTGAGAAGTAGAGGCAGCTAGCAGAGATGCTGTTCATATGGTTTATGCCTACACATTCTGAGTTTTCTGAGGGCCTGTACCACAAATGAATTCAATTTGTTTCACTACCTGCTGCTTCACCTTGCCAAGCTTTTTTTTTTTTTTTTTTTTTTTTAAATCAAACTACTCTGATCTCATTCTGTTTCCTTCTGGAGCTATGCCTGCGTCACAAAACCTGTTGTTCGCAACTGAAACAAAAATTCTCAGAGGGCACCCAGAACTAATGGTAAACATTTTTCCTCTCTCCTGAGACAGTCCCAAATCAATATATCATTTATATCTTCACTAAATCCACAGGATCCAAGAGGACTGAAATAATTTGGAAGCCTCATTCTGACTTTCAACTGTAATGTGCAAAATCTTAGATACTGGGACGTGTAAAATTTATATCTCCCAGACCACTCTGTTTGCATGAATATGCATCATCAAAACTTTCACAGCAACCAAGGCTGCACACAGTGCTTTAGAAGCAGATCTGAAAAGGAACTTATGTCTTGCAATGTCAAGTACAATAATACTGACTTGCATATTCCTGATCCTAGTCTCAGTCCTGAGCTCTACATGAGCTGATTTGGCTATATATAAAATTAATCTGGAGAGGTACAGAATTTGGCAAAGATGTTCACAGAAGCACTCTGCATAATGAAATGAAAGGATCTTTCACTCAGCTGGCTAGGCAATGGTGAATAAAAGCTTCCTTTTACATGCATTTTGTCCCACAACTTTTTCCATGACAGCCCTTTGTCAAGGGCTCCTCTTAATAACCAGGTTAAGGAACATCTTTGGCCTCTTTAATACTTGACACCTCTTGCCTGGGGATTAGCACCCTCTCCCAGAAACAGGTTGCATGGCATTTTTCTCTCAGACTAGAAGGAATGGAGGTACACTGTCTGATCTTTTTAACCACTGCATTACAGTGTAAAACAAGGAAACTGGCATATAAGGTGTGGGAATCGCAACCCGTCTTCCTCTGTGTGTTCCTTAAAATAAGAATTATCATTTTCTGTTAAACCTTACTTAGTGCAGCAAGCATTTTAAAAACAGACATAACAGGTCACTTCCCCTAAGGGACAGGAACAACTAACTTTTGGCTTCAAACAACAAACCCCCTGAGGATGGAGGACAAGGAAGTTTCAGTACATCAGGTCTGATGTACAACAACAACTGTGTCCAGACTTACCAGGCTTTCCACAGGATTGGCTGCTGGACATGAAAAATCAGTTCTGAATGATGGTCAGAAGTTGGTGGAATGCTTCCCAGAGCAAAAGAAGGCTCAGTCACTACTGGCATGAAACCACACAACTCAGCTGGTGCCTTGGGAATTAGGACCAACTCTGTCTGGGTTCCCCAGCAGGACAGCTGCCTCAGCTGGAATATGCTGGGTTCTTCAATGACACCAATATCAGCTCCAAAGTAATCTTCCAAAGTGAATTCATTTTGAAAATGAATACCAAAATGGTATGGGAATTCCATGCTGTTTTATGAAAATATTCTCCTTGGTTCCTCCTTTTTTCCTTACCCATTATCCCTATTTCCATATAAATTAACACTCACACCTAACAAATCGAAACCATCATTAGATATTGTTGTGATCATTTTCCTTTGGAAACCCAAATAATACTGCTCCAAATTTTTACAGATCTATAAATTAAGGACCTTTAACTCTAATTTATGCCACATATAAAGCACTGTATCAAAATGTGGCTTTAAAGCAGGATATTAAAACAGAATAAATGAATAAGACTGATATTTGAATAAATACATATACATGTAAAAGCAGAGTCAGTTAAAAAATGGTAAAAAAAAAAAAAACCAAACGCCTTTTAATCCAGAGCAGATATTGCAAAACATTTTGAATTGCAAGTTGCCTGAAAATTTTTAATGAATATTTTATAACACTGTGGAGATCATTCCATTTAAATGGGACATGTACATCACATGGCAACTACTATAAGTAAAAGGATCATTGTTTCAGATTAATAGTATCTTCTTTATATCCATCTGTGGCTAAACAAGTGCAGATTGCCTCAGCTGAATAAATGTAAGCCTGATATGCATGAGTAACTATGTAACCTTAATATTCTCTTGTGTTTTTGAAATCAAAAAAGGGGTTCAGATCCTGCATTTCATTTTTAGTTGTTTCCACTTATGCTTATCCATTGTTCACTAACTATCTAGAATGGTATACATGATATCTATACTGGCATTGAAATATATATGTTTTCTATGTATAATAAACTTAGTCCTGTCTTCAACTTTCAATATATTTCCTACTCTTTTCCTAATAATAATTTATTTACCTCCCAGTAGGAAATGTCATAGTTAGAAAAAGGCTGAGGTTTTATTATCCACTCTAAAGCACCCTTTTTATCAGTGCAGCAATATTAAATTTCGTGGAAAGGAAGATACCAACTTTAAAAAATGTGTATGTTTGTGGGGGCCCACAGGTTAATAGAAACAAAGCTTCAGTACCCATGCAGTTGTGTGAGCAGGTAGAGTAGAAGTCTACTGTCCTTCTAATTTGTTCTAAATCTGATATTTACTGGCAACTTTGAAAGTAGTCTTACACCTATTTTTCAAGACTGGAGAATACGTTGCTATCTTATATTATATTCTCTATGGTAATAGCATCCCTGGTGTGAATATCTCATCCTGAGCTTCCTATCCCTCTTTATTCACCCAAGAACTTCCACATATTCATACTCTCCTGGGTGCTGTGTACAACTGTATATTAATCCATTTCCAAAAGAATCTTTACCTTCATCACAAAATCCTACACTTTAAATAGTCTAACAAATGACCACAGTAGTTGCAACTCAGAGATGTGTGATTCCATGTGGTTCATTCAGTTTAGTTTAGATCCACTGGTGCAGTGGATCTTTAACGTATTTTTGTAAACATTAAGGTTTCAAAGATAGCAGCACAGAAGATGGGCTGGAAAATAATCTAATAAATCTAATATGGTAAAGTTGGTGGATTTATAGTTTATGAAGGTCATGAGAAAAGAAGAAAGCATATACGTATTACTAGCATAGAGAACATAGCAAAGAAGCTACAGAGTCTAAAAACAGAACAGTGGATCGTATTAACAAAGTATGCACCATAGGAAGAGACTTTGTCACAGAACAAAAAATTTATAAATGTGCTAAAGAGACATACATGCCTCTATCAATCTGTAAAATTAGACAACTTTCTAGAAACATGGACAGGGCACGCTGAACATAACTGTGTTTATTCTTTTGATAAGGCATTTGTAGAGAACTAAATATGTAAAAATATTACAGTGCCAAAGTTAGTCTATTTCAGCAACTAGAGAAGCATTTTATTACTGCTATTTTATCTCTGAAGTACTAGATAGTTTGAACAGTTCTGGTCTTTCTGATAGTTTCAAACCCACAGGACCCTAAGTATCATCTTCTAAAATGTATGGTCTTTTCAAATCTTCATGCTTGAAAACTGGTATGTTGACTTCTGTTTCATTGGCTTGGAAAAATGACAAACATCCTTATAACTAACTCTTTTGGAGCTCATTCCTGAATTTTTAGATTGACTTGTCAAGTTAAAAGTCATTTGCAATCATTCT